GACACCACTCAGATACCATGGACACCACGGGACCATCACTGACACCACGGACACCACTCGGACACCATGGACACCACGGGGCCACCACGGGGGTCACATGGCCACCACTGACACAACAGGGCCACCACCAGCACCTCAGCAGTCACACAGATACCACAAGGCCACCATGGGGCCACCACAGGGATCACATGGCCACCACCTGGCCACCATGGACACCACTGGGGCCACCACGGCCTCCATAGGGCCACCACATGGCCACCACTGGGGTCATCACAGCCATCACAGGGCCACCATGGGGGTCACAGGGCCACCATGGGGGTCACAGGGCCACCAGAGGGTGGCCATGACTCCCCCACCTGTCAGCTGGGCCACCAACTGCCACCCACAGGTGGCCCCTGCCAGGTGTGTTGGTAGTCACCACTGGTGAGTCAGTAGCCCCCAGGTATCATTAGACCCCAGATGTCAGTAGTCCCCTCCAGAGAATTAGTAGCCCCCTAGGTGTGTCATCAGCCCCTCAGGTGAGCTGGTGACCCTTCAGGTCTTGGTGGTCCCTCAGGTGTGTCAGTAATTCCCCCAGGTGTATTGGTAGCCCCCCAGGGTGTGTCAGTAGCCCCCTAAGTGCCAGTAGCCCCCCCAGGGGAGTTGGTAGCCTCCTAGATGTCACTAACCCTCCAAGGTGTCAGCAGACCCCCAGGTGAGTCAGTAGCCCCCACAGGAGTTGGCAGCCCCCCAGGGGGTGTCAGTAGCCCACCTGAGGATGTTGAGGCAGACGTTGCCCTCCAGGTCGATGTTGGGGTGATAAACCATCGTCTCACACTTGACCTTGGGGGGGTCGTGGGGGTAGCCCTGGCCCACCTGGGGGGACATGGCCACCCCCTCAGCCCTAGGGCTCCCAGCCACAGCTCAGGGGCCACCACCCTCACCCCCTGAGCCCACCTGTCCTGGTGGTCACTGACCACCAGCCCCCAGAGCCTCCCCAGCTGCAGCAGCTGCTTGGTGGCCATTGGGCACACCTTGGTGGCCACCAATCTCTGATGCTGGGTCCTCACCCACGCAGTGACCACAGGTCACACTCCTGGTGGCCACAGGGCAGGTTTCAGTGGTCACTTGTGTCCTGCTCTGCCCTGCAGGGCCAGGGCATGGCTGTGGGGCCCACTGGTAGCCACACATCCCCAGCCCAGGGCCACCGCCCCCAGTCCAGTGTCACCATCAGGACTGTTGCAGTGGCCGTGGAAGGGGTGTTGGTGGCCATAGAAGTTTGTAGCCACAGGAGGGGACTTAATGGCCCTGGAAGGGGTATTGGTGACCACAGGAGGTGATTTGGTGGCCATGTGAGGGTGATTGGTGGCCACAGCAGAAGACTTGGTGGCCACAGGAGTTTGTAGCCATGGGAGGAGAGTTGGTAGCCACAGGAGGTGACTTAGTGGCCATGGGAGTTGGTGACCACAGGAGGTCACCTGGTGGCCATAGGAGAAGGGCTGGTGGCCACAAAGTTTATAGCCACGGGAGGGGAGTTGGTGGCCACTGGAGGGGATGTAGTGGCCCTGAGAGGGTAACTGGTGGCCACAGAAGGGGTGTTGGTGGCCACAGGAGGGGAGGTGGTAGTCAATGGAGGGGAACTGGTGGCCACACAACGGGACTTGGTGGCCATGGGAGGGAGGTTGGTGGCCACAGGACTAGGTGGCCACGGGAGG